TTTTGATTTTTGGGTTTGAATCTCTTTGATTTTGGAGTTTAATTTTTGAATTTTTGGGTTTGATTATTTTTTATCTTCAAAAAAACTGAGGATTGTTGATTTTTGATCCCTGATGTGTTGATTTTTGGATCTTTTAAATTGTTGATAATGATATGTTGTTGATGCCTCTGTCTCACACAGTTTGGATTTTTGGATTGTTGATGATGATATGTTGTTGATGCCTCTCTCTCACACACAACTCCCTCTCCTCTCCTCCTCTTCCTCCTCTTCATTCTTCTTCTTCATCTGCAGAGAGAAAAGGCAAAAATAAAAAATTTAAAAAAAAAAACTGCCCCAAAACGACGTCGTTTTGGGCAGTCGAGCCACTCGGGCCAAAACAAATTCGAGCTACAAAACGGAACTGAACCTAAAAAAGTCAAAAATTCACTATTCTATTTAAGTCATATCATCTTATTTAAGTTACATCGCCTCTCTACCACATTACTTCAAATTCAATCCATACTCAATCCATATTTTATAAAAATTTAAAAAGTACACTTATTTAAATCATCTCAAACCACACATTTGTCTTCTTGGCTTATTTAACCTATTTTGTCTTTTGTGTTTTTTAGTCCAACTAAGTTGGCCAAACGAATATCTTGTTTGGGTTGTGCTATATAAGCACAATTTTTATCTTTTTTGGATCACATCAACTTTTTATTTTTCTTCACATCTTTTCGTAAAAAGTCAAAAAGTACACTTAGCCTGCGTTTGGCAAGATGGGTTTGGAGTTTTTTTGGCTAAAATAGTTACAAAAAAAAAATAGGTTTTTTAGCCCAACAAAGCAAAACATCACATCCAACTTATAATCATTATATTATTTCTCTTACAAAAAAGTCAAAAAGGCCAAAAGCCCTTCCCAAACTAGGCTTTTCAGTCCCAGGCCAAAAAAGTCAAAAAATCAAAAAGCCAACCTACTTCCCAAACGAAGCCTTGGATCATCCCTAACCAATGTTTTGAATTTTAATTTTTAAAAATAAACTTGGTTTCAATTTAAAACAATTGATGGTTTTCAGATAAGAAGGCAGTTCAACCAATCCATCTGATCTGATTTCAAAAGTATTGTTCTTGACAATATAATGAGTGAGACATATGTAATGAAATTTTTTATTTTTCTTCTCAATTCTCATCATTATAATTATTTATGGAGTCAATTTTTTGTCTTCAATATTCACTATTGTGAAAGCGACCTAACAATTCAGTGTTTAACTGTTGTCAAATATTTTAATTTACAAATATCAAAATGATATTGCTCATTTATATGCTTTCAGTAAAAGAAATTATGATTTTTAATTGCAAAATATTGCTACCACATCATTAAGGCCTCTTTTGGAAAGACAATAAAAAGTAAAAAGTCAATTTTAATTTATTTTGGATTACATTATACTTTTTATTTTTTTACACATTTTTAAAAAATATCAAAACAAAACAAAAAAATTAATTTTTAATCAAATTCTCAAAACAATCGTACATCACATCACAAGAGAATCGACTGCCATGTATCACCCGGGGATATGTGGGCTTAAATTAGATTCCATGGACTGAAGTAGGAACTATCCAGCCGAAGTTTTTTCTTGTGAAAATAACAAGAAAATCTTTATATATATATATATATATATTAAATAAAAGTTATTAGAAAAATGTATTTGATCAATTTCTCAGATAAATCACATGGGAGTCAATTGCAATTTTTTTTTCCATGTGTGCAAATGACTACCTAAAACAGAGAAAATTTCTTAAGTAGTTTGTAGTACTGTGGGATTTTATTTGCTTAGTACTCTCAATAAATGAAAAATCTCAAAACAGATTAGGCAAATCATTTTTTATTTTTAAACTACCTAAATAAAGGTTGATCAACATTACTTTCACTCGTAAAATTTTTTGTTAAGTGTTTTTTTTTTTTTTAATCAACAAAAAGGTTTTATTGATGTGGAAAGTGCTGAAACGTACAAGAAAAAAATATATCAATATAACAGGGCTTACCGAATAATAATCTTTTTACGTTGGGTTTGTATCATCGATTTTTTTTGGGGGGGGAAGAAAGAAAAAAAGAAAAAAATAATAACTTTTATTTCATTCACATTTGACTCACTTTTTATTTTTGTTTTTCTTTTTTTTTTATTATATATATTTTGTTTTCAATTTCTTACTCAAATTCATTATCTAAACACAGCCTTAAAAAAAAATAACGAGAAATTATAGTGTAATTAAAGGTAACTCAATATCAAGATGCCTTGGGAATGCAGCAAGCTTGCAATAAAAGAATTCGAGAAGGAGGGGAAGACAAGCGAAAAAAACAAACTCTAAGGCAAAGAATCAGCCAAGAAAACCATACTAAATAATATCGTGGAATGTTACAATATTAGTCCATTCACCAAAGAAGGGGAAATGATAATCATACAAAATTGGATATTTTACATTGCATTATGGTCAACATATGGGCTGTTAGTCACACTTTTAAGATTGAAAATTAAGAGACAATAAATGATATAACAAGCACAAAAACACACAAATTTACATGATTTGACTAAGTCTTATGTCTATGGGCAAAAATGGTAAATGAATTTCCCATTATACATAAAGAATACAATGAGTTAACTCCCTCACACAATTACTGTTTACGAAAACTCTTAAGATGATAAAACTATAAAACTTCAAAGTAACTTAGGACTGATTTGGCAACCTTAAAAAAAGTTAAAAAGTTAAAAAGTTATCCAAAAAATTAAAAAATTATCACTATTTACAAAAAAAAATAAAAAAAAATTAATATACTAATATTAATACAAATCAACTTTCAATTACAAGATTGGTACTGACGTGATGAACTAGTTAGTGACAGAGAAAAAAAAATTATTATATGTATATATTCACTAAATTGGATGGTAAAGTTTGGCCTGTGGGGACCCACCATGGGTCCTGTTTTGATAATCTAAACCGTTCAATATGTAGAACTCGTCTAGTATTATATGTCTGTAAAAAAATCACGTCTATCAGATATCGCTAATTACATGATCAAATCAATTTTGTAAAAAAGGATGGTGTTATAGTTAACAGTTAACGGTTAACAAAAAAAAAATTAACGTGATCAGATCGTTATCGATATCCAATTAATGTGATTTTTTACAAGCATATAGTACTCGACGAGTTCTACACATTAAACGGTTCCGATTAAAAAATGGAGACCTGTGGTGGGCCCCTACGGGCGAAACAACACCATTCAATCAAAGCCCGAGAAGGAGACAATATTTTTTCATCTACTCACCCGGCAGACTCCACTGCCAATCCGTACGGCCTCCTACCCTATCTTCTCCTACACACTTATTTATATAATTTTTTAATACACATTTTTACATAAAAAGTCAAAAAGTTAACCCAAACATTCATATTTTTTTTCTGTCCAAAATGACAAAAAGTACACTTATTTAAGACACCTCAAACAACCCCTTAATATATATATATATATATCCGAATAGTACCAATGCAGGTCAAAATTGACCAAAATACCAAGTTAAAACAACAGTCATTTCATTTCGCCAACAGGTTATAAGTATAATCCAAATTAAATTTGAGACACACTCGCAATTGTTGCACTCTAATTTTATGATACATGTGTTGGGTAGTGTGGATTCAACTCGTGTAACTTTTCTGTCAATGAGAAAACCACAGCAATCGTGAATGTAGTCTTAGTTTGGTGTGAATCACGTAAACCTTATATTTTTTTTGTCTGCATATAATTTGTCTTTAATTATGCATTTGTTCCTCTATATATTTCGTGTTTCACCTATTCTAATTAGATGTAACATATTCCTAGCAAAGTGCATAAAACAGTGAACTGTGAATAGTGGATTAAGCCATTCAGATATATGCTCTACAATAATCAATAGTAAATCATGCTGAAGAAGAACTAGTGACTACTTCAAATTTGGTATTTATTAGGCATTTAAGGCTACATTCATTACTTAAAACAAAACTACAAGAAGACTACCATATAAGTATTTCAAGTACAATTGGCCTATGATTTCTATGTTCTTGTCTTGGTCTCCCAAGCTTTAACCTTGTGCCTTTATGCATCTTCCTGTGTTGAAACACCATTTGTGATCATCTTCCAACGTTGAACTCACCAAGTATAAAACCTAAATCCAGAGTCTCTCCTGGTTCATTTTGTATGCAATATAGATGTTGACATAGTTGAGATTTGTCATGTTTTTCTATGACAAATAGTGGAGTGTTTAGCCATTCACATTGGTCTCTAGCTCCATGAGCTTTGGCTTAAAGGTAAACTACATGTCACACTTATTTTAAAGATTTTTTGTCAACATCTACAAATACATATTTATAGAAAATGTATGTGAACTCTACAAAGTATAATTATATATATAAACCTAGATAGTGACTTTATACCAGCATATTTTGTGTCGGTGATAATTTAGGACTCTCTAGAAAATGACTTAATCAATTGAGATTAGTTCATTTGGCTAAAAAAAATTTGTACTTTATTAATAAGAGATCAAAAATTCGAATCTTACAACTAATAAGATTTTTTTCTCGTCAAATTATAACCTGCAATATATTGAGTGTGTGTGGGAGAGAGAATATCAAACATGAACCATGAGAAATGGAATTGCAAGCATGAACTTTAGGGAGGTGATTGTTAACATGAAATATAAGATATATATGTATATGATGTAAATTAGAGTATGATAAACTATGAAGAAATTATTCAAGAAAGGACTATTGGGTGGAGAGAGAAAAAGAGGATACCAAGTAAACTTTACTTTCGCAAAGTCAAAATGAACATAGAAGTGATTTACTGACCTTGTGCGTGATCAATCTGGTTATACACTGCCTTGAAGAATGAAATTATTTCTCTATCACCAATTCTTTAGGTCAAAAACAGATCAAGTTAAAAGATTGATGTTAATGATGGATAACACTACAAAAACCTACACTTTTGGTGACAATTTTCAAATCAACCCAAAAAGTACCAAGTTTTTCACAACCAAAATTTGCAAAAATACAACCTAAGATTGATTTGTTGATCAACTTCATCAGAAAGCTCATAATACCAAAACAAAAACCCATGTGATAAAAACGAGAAAAACCTCTTAGCAAATATTCATCCAAAAAAAAAAAAACCAGAAGAAAACCCTAGAATATTCTTCAAATCTCTTCTCCAAAAAGCATTAGAATGGCCTTGATGATGGTTGGTTGTTGTTATCTCTATATGAGGATGGCTCTTCCCTCTCTTCATTGCTAACCTTGTCTTGATTAGCTCTATCTCCCTCTAGCTCTCTATATCTATGTAAGTACCTCTTGAGTGGACCAGCATAGTCATCGAATCCAAGTGTTCCCAAGGCCCAACAAACATCATCGCCGTTCACCGTCTTCCTCCTCTCCTTCTTGCACTTCTCAGAAGCTTCACTGGTGACAAAGCTAATGAACTCAGACACACACTCTTGCATTGTTTCCTTGGCTTCTTTGGAGATTTTGGCGTTGGCAGGCAAGATTTGTTTCATGATCCGACCCACGTTGGCTATGGGTAGCAGCCTCTCTTGTTCCTTGATGTAGCCATCTTCAGAGCCACCAGGACCAATGTTATCTCCCATTTTTCAGAGAGAAAAATTATGTTGATTCTGTCTTAACATGGATATATGTCGATGTCCTTCTTGGTCAAACTCCTACATACATACACCCTGATGGGTGAGGGTGTGTTTGTAATTTCATATAATAAATTTTTGAGTAGTTTTATGAATGAAAAAGATGGATTGAATTTAAAACTTTTATTTATTGGATATGGAATTTTTAATTAATAGTTTTGAAAGGGATTGAATTTAAAACTTTTATTTATTGGATATGGAGTTTTTAATTAATAGTTTTGAAAGGAAAGAAAAGAAAAAGAAAAAGAAAAAAAAAAAAGTGTGAGCAGCTAAAAATTTTATGAGTATTCTTCATGGAAAAAAAAAAAAAAATCCGACCAAGTTTCAAAAAATAACAGTACTACAATCCCATAAATTATACTCAAATAAGTCTCAACCACACATCATTATTTTGGAAAAATTCCTAGCTTTTCTGTTCAAAAAATGGTATGAGTTGTGATTTGTATAACAATTATATTACGTATCTCTAAAAAAATTCCTCAAAAAGTATATTTATAGATCATAATTATGTAAGATGTCGCTTACATATCACCAATTTAAAAGAGTTTTGCTATATTTTTCAATTTTATCACTTCCAATTGCAACTTTCATGAAGTGACAAATAATATTAACAAATCAATTTTTTTTAAACTCTTCTCTCTCTTTTCAAAATTATGTATCACCTCATTAGAAGTGTAATTAAGGGTGATAAAAAAAGAGAGGAGGCATTTCTCAATTTAAAATCCACATTATTTATTTCACTTTCGATTTATTTTATAGAGCAAAAATTCATAATAGATAACAATTTTCTACTTATATAATGAAATATATATACATGTATGTATGCGCGTGTACATATATTGACATGTATGTATGTAATGAGTCATGCGCGTGTCTTCTTATCCAATATCGCATGTGATGGTCGGCATCAAATCAGGGTCATCATCAAACTCAAATCCCAATTAATTGGTTGGTTTGTTTTGTAGAATTTTTTTTTTTTTTTTAACTGTAATTTTATGGTCCCATAAATAGAAGTAGAATAAATAAATAAATAAATTTATGATTGATAGTTAAAATTGATATTGCGGGTTTATACTTTAAGTAAATCTAAATCATCGATGTAAATTTTTAAATATTTTTTAAATTTTTATATCTGCAACTGTAATATTGCTCGTTTTTTTTATTAGATTTTGAAAACAATTAAGAAAAACTCATTTAGGGGTTATTTTTTAAAATATAAATTATAATATTTACTAAATTCTTGTAATAAAAAATTATTTTTATTTGTTTTAAAAACAAGTTCTTGTTTCTTTTACTTTTCCCCACCTTCTCCTACCAACACCTCTATTAGTCGGCAATCACTTTCTAGTGCTGCCAACACCTCTCGCCAACAATAACTATCTCTGACCATCACCTCCCATCGATACCTACTTCCATCCATCCTCTCTTATTTGTTGTTTAAACAAATTTTCACATTACAGTGTATACTAAATATGTTTTTATTTTCATTTTTGCAACAAATTAAAATATTGGACAAATTACAAAAAAAAAAAAAAACTCCATATAATTTAACGTGTTTTTCAATTTAAACTCAGAAGTTTGAATTTCATCAATTTAAAGTTTAAACTTCAATTCATGTCACAACCTACACTCTTGACATCTTAGTTACTTTGTTTAACAATTTTTATTTTATTTTTTTTGAAATACATGTGGCAATATATTATTTACTCTCTTAACTTCTTGTAAAACCACTTTTAACTTGACCATACTAGATCACAAACTATCCTAACCATCCATTCAAGTATTACCATACACCTCACATAGTGGATCAACTCTCTCTCCTTCCCCATCTCTATCGCCATTGAAACCCACATGTGTCCTGCTACAGCCTAAGGCCATCAGAACCCACGCTGCCTCTACAATCATCCTCCCCTCCCCCTTGCCCCACAACCCATCGCCTCCCTCTAAATGCACTGTTACATTTTGAAAACTTGGTTCCATTTCTTTTGGTAAAAATACTTCACTCAAAAAATAACTTTTGGAAAATTTCTTTCATTTAAGACTACTCATCTAGATAGTCTATTTCTCTTCACATGGAAACTTGGAAATAATCATAAGTTATCTTCAATACGATTTGGAAAGATACATCTCATGTTACATATTTATTTTGTTGTCTTGGAAGAAATTGTTTCCCAACAAAACATATAAACCTACAGAGAAGCACGTTAAACTAAAAAGGTTTTAGCTTAGTAGAAAATTAAACTCTCCCTAAACAGAGAATTTTTTTAAAAATGCATTCTTTATTATTCATAAAATTTTAGTACGTATATGGATCAACTAAAGTTTACTATAAAAGCTAAAATTCTAGAAGTAACTAACCCAGAAAACAAATAGTTTATGGCACAAAGGTGTACCAAAATAACTATCTAAGTTCCTGGATTTCCCTCTATTACTTCATTTTCGCTTTGATTTGAAGGGGGTTTTGAGGGGGAGTTGTTGATTGGTCGAGGATTTGAGGTAGGGCATCAAGTAGGTAATGGTGAGTTCGCATTCGTTGAACACCATTGACGATGATGTGAGAGCGGTGGATCAAGGACATGGTTGTGATTGAATTTGAGGAAAGGGATGATGGTTGATGATGGAGGAAAGGGAAAAGATAAGCCACGTGTGTATTAAATTTTTTTCCCATTAAATAAATTCATAGAGATGAATAGATTGTTAACATTGAAATGGAATAAGAAGTTCAAGGTTTAAATTGATAAAATTGAAATTTTAGGGTTTAATTTGAAAAACACGCAAAACCCAATATATATTTTTTAATTTGCCCTAAAGTATTTTTTTTTTTTTTGAAAAAAAAAAAATAGTAAACTGTACACTAGCTCAAATAATAACATAGAGAAAATTCATACTATGTGTGTAATTTTGTTTTTTTATTGCATGCAACAATGGATGTTGACAAGGTGGTGTGGCAAATTTGAACACCTCCAAAATATTGGTCAATTTGATGGGTAATAGCCTTCCCCATTGGATTAAGCATCCTTATAATAATATTAATTTATTAAAATGCATCAAGTCGTCGAGTGGAGCCATCCAAGCACTACCATTATTTAATTTTATTTATTTAAAAAAAAACCCTAATTAATTTTATAATATGGTATCTTTTGTATATGATTAAGTCACTCTATGCGACAACAAAACATTTCTTTTCTTAAAAAATAAACTCAGGCAAATTGTTGTTTAAGTGCTTGAACCTTGTACCAACTATCAAAGTACAGAAGAAACTTTGAAGACCAGATCAAATTTAGGCACTTTGTGTTGTTTTTAACACCTACAAAATAGTTCTAGAACTTTTCTGTTTGACTAACAACATTTTACAGTTATATATGAATTGAAAACATAAAAATAACTATACTTCTTGTCTTAATTCTTTGTTCCCATTGCTCTTTTTTTTCTCATTCTTTTTGAGGTTGGATATGCTTTGTTCATATGATCATTTTTGAATTCATACACATGTATAAATGTCCTATACAAAAATGTTTATTGAATTTGAAACAAAAAGAAATTTTGAATCACACAGCAACAATAACTTAAGATTTGGAATTAGTCTAAGAACACAAAAATGGTTATAGAACTGGACATAAAATGTATATAAATGGATAAGATTTTTCAAAATACTAACGAACTCTATAAAATTTTATGCATATATATGTATTTGTATTCAATTTCATGATCAATTTTTGTGTTTATAACAAAACTATAAGGCCCCGTTTGTTTGGGGTTATAGGGAGGGGATTGGGATTACTAATCCCTTGGTATTACTAATGGGGTGTTTGTTTTGAGAGATGGGGAGGGGACTATTAATCCCTTGGTATTAGTAGTCCCCTTGGAAGGGGGATTGGTAAGGAGGAGATGGAGATGGTATTAGAAAAATAATGAGGGGATTAGAAATTTTTTTATTTTTTATATATTGGGAATTTTTTTTTAAATATTAATGTTTAATTTTTTATATTTTTTTATTTGTTTTATTATTTTATATAAAAATAATTTAACAATTCCTCACTATCAATCCCCTCACTATGAATCCCCTCCATTCTATCTCTGAAAACAAACAGGACCTAAGATTTTTAGTTAGTGACCCATTTTGATTTATAAGATCTGTAAAGGGGCAATTCCAAAGATTCCAGTCATTGCAGAGTTTAGAGGAAGATCAGATATATGCACGCGCCTTATTGAGTATCCAGAGACATTATTTCTATGATTTGAATCCATAATACTTGAATTATAATAGAATTATTTTATTTTATTTTTTATCAGCATAATAGAACAACCTTACCATTGCGGCAAGGGCCTCCCTCGCTCAATATGATCAATTTCTAAAAGGCATTGACTCCAAATAAATAAATAAATAATAATAATAATAATAACTCTACATAACCCTTAATTTAGGCAATGATTTAATCGTACGCATGTAAGTGGGAGCAGTTTAAAAAAACATGATTTTGTTTTGTTTTTATAAATCTTGATCTACGCTCCAAGGATCGTCAAATTTACTAATCTCATTGGCTTGAAGTTGTTATTTATTTGCCAGTTCAAAAGAAAAGACCTACTTATGTTTCTCAATAAACTTTGCCTTAATTTAATGTTGTACATCAATCAATGCTAAACAATTAATGATCATCTTTATAATAATCTACACTCAAACCGTTCTTCTCCTTTGAGCCTTCTTGCTTTTGACTATCTTGGAGATTCCATATATATAGTTATTATAAGAAAAATGAGACGCAAGTGGGTACATGCATGCCAATCTAATTGGGATTATTGAGGTTCGTTATGATGCTCCATGTATTTTTTTACTTTGTTGATATAAGTTTGCAGGTCTCCTGCTCTTCTCATCAATAAAATTTTTTGTTGCTGATCTAAAAAAAAAAGTGGATACATGCATGCACGGTTTCCTTTTGAAAAATTTTATATGTCACCTATTTTATGTCATTGTTCTACATCATCAGATATATCTATCATTGATTTTT